TGCGGATAACGTAGCAAGAGGGTGGTTCGGTCGCAAAGCCTCTTGTGGTGAGTGAGCGGCTGATCTGCGTGAAGCAAATAGGTTTTCTTCAGGAAAAAGCAGTTTAGTATTTACCGGTGATGAGTTTGGGGGAGATGAGGAGGGAGCTGGAGATAACCACTTACCGGTGAACCGGTGATGAGTTTGGGGGAGATGAGGAGGGAGCTGGAGTCGGTGGCTGCGTTTTATTTCAGCACAGGGCGGCGGGGGGGGGGGGGGGGGGGGGGGGGGATAAGAAATGGCGACGGGAGGCGTAAGGAAGTTATTTCTGAAACCGGAATATACTTGTAGGCGAAACTGAGTTGGTGTGTCAGAGTTAAGTGTGCCTCTAACGTGTTTATTGGCTTTTGTGGATTTGTGCATGGGGATTTAGGGGCGCTTACTCTTCTTTTAGTTATGTGACTTGTAAGTGCTAGTGATATTTCCAACGTGTCATGTCTTGAAATGCTTTTCAGACAAAGGGCACATCATCATTTGGTAAGCGTCGAAATAAGACACACACCTTGTGTCGTCGATGCGGCTCCAAGGCATACCATCTGCAGAAATCTACCTGTGGGAAATGTGGTTACCCTGCTAAGCGTAAGAGAAAGTGTAAGTAACAAACTTTTAACTGACTTGAGTTTAAAAACCCGTGTTTCTTTCTCTTGTTCAATAGTCTGACGTTTTTCCAACTAAGGAAGAAGGCTGTGTCATCTTACAGTGTTGGGAGCTTTTTTCAAATTAATACTGATTTAACTGTATTTTAGCTAACGTGTGCAGTATTACTACATAGAAATTGACTTAATTTATAATTTTTTTTTGCTTCTGTCAGATTGAATAATTGTGCTATACAAATATAATATGCAACTTAATTATTTGGTACAGATGAGTAACAGTAACTTGTATGTTTTAGATAACTGGAGTGCAAAGGCTAAAAGGCGCAACACCACTGGTACTGGTCGCATGAGGCACCTGAAAAAGGTCTACCGTCGATTCAGGTATAACATTTTACTACAGACTAGTGTGGTGTGAAATCCTGCATACATACCACTTAATTATAAAATTCATCATTCAAAGTTAACATTTTTATTTAGTACACTTAATGTGGAATGGTCTTTCTTCTTAAATATATCATGAAATAAATTATGCTTTATATAATTGGCTGCGTATTCCTTTGAGGATGAAAAGCCTCACTCACTGTTAATACATAAGGTGTATAGCAAACTCTGATGTTTCTGTTAAGTGTAGGTAGTACAGAACCCAGAAAGTATTGTAATAAAATGCCCGCATTTAAAAAGATACACTTCGTGTAGTATTGCCTCTATTTGTGAGTCAACTAAATTGCTGGTTGCACTGAAGTGTGGGTTTTTGTAAGAGACAAGTCTTGAAATGAATTCCAATCCCCTTTTGCCCACAAAAAAAAGTTCAGGACTGGCATAACTTCAGTAGTCACTCTCTTACTTGGAGTTCAGTTAGCAGTAAGTAGCTATAACATCAGATTCTGAGTTACAGGTTTCTAAAACTTGTTACAGAGCTTTGAGTTGTACTTGCGAGGTAACAGTGGGGATATTGTACTGTTAGACTCATTAAGAATTTGTTTTGTATGACCTCCATGTCCTAAAATGGAGCTCTGTACCTTCTGGCCTAATATACAAGAAAGCTGGATGAAAAAGACCAAGTAATTCAAGAGTCTTGTCATAAAAATGTAGATTGGATTTAATAGTGAAAAGTGGGAGTCTTTTAAGCCCCAGACCTGGGTGTAGTGGAGGGATCCATTCATCTGTTTGTTTTGGTGAGCGCAGTCTTTCCCAGCAACAGCCAGAAAATACCTTACAGTGTGCAGCTGTAGCCTGCTTTCCACGGAGTGTTGCTGAAGTAGAAATGTCATATCCAAAAGCGAGCTTGGGGCTGACTGTTCTTTTGTCATGCCTGTCTTAATCTCTGGTTGGAGGCACAGAGGATTTCTGTAAGAAATTGACTTGTGCTTCACCAAACGTGAAATCTTTCGCTGAGTTGCTTAGTGGGAACATAAAGTAAAATGTGCTGTATCTGATGCAGTCTTGCAGTGTTCACTCAGTTACTGAAATCTTCGGTTTGAAGAAGTCAAATCGACTTATTCCTGCTTATTCCAAACACTTGTTAATAAGATGTTTCTTACTAAAAATGTCTGATCGTATGAACTCCGTAGTGATTTCAGTGTACTACTGAGATAAGCTGAAAAAAGCTGGTGAACTTGATCTAGAATATTACTTGTCAGAAAGTAACTTGGAGCAGGAATTATCCTTTCAAAAAGTGGTAACCATATTTCTACTTGTAGGAATGGATTCCGTGAGGGAACCACACCGAAGCCCAAGAGAGCAGCTGTTGCAGCCTCCAGTTCATCATAAAGACTCATCTATTTGTTAAAATAAATGGTCTTATCCAGAAAATCTGTCACCTTTTATACATTTTACTTCAGTGAAATGCAGGATTCCTGAAAATAGATATATTTACACACACAGTTTCTTGATGGTATGCATTGAAACGATTCATTAAAAACGATCCTTTAATTGACTTTTCATTTGACGGCACCTCTGCCTTGAAAAGGACCATTATCTCTGTGCTGAACTTAAAAAGGGGCTTGTACATGTTACTCAAA